ATGTGATATCTCCGTCGTATCTAATTGTTCACTGGAATCCTTTAATGAGCTTGCGTTTGCAAGACAGGATTCTTTTACGATCACAAGGTAGTACTTTTGCGCCAATCCCGCCTTGGTCCCTGATTTCTTCTTCTCCGCATCTTGAGTCCTCTTTTATGTTTCTTTTAAGCCCTTTAACTTTTAATTTCTTTCAATTTGATCCACCTAATCTCTAGCCATTCATTCTACAATAATCAATATTTAACCAAATAAAGTAGTAATTCCATCAAATTAAATCCCAAACATCCATTTTTTATGACCCGAATAGGTACAGAAATCATGCTTATAAAATATCTTCAATCTTAAACAATTGTTTGTCTTCAAAAATTAGTTACCCAACACAAACACAATACAAAAATGTAATTAGATAGCTTGTCATTTTGCCTCACGTTATAAAATAACTTAAAGAATTCATAAACAACTTCCAAAATATGTTATCGGGATTAATTCATCTACTTATCTAATGTTAGATCGATGTGTGTGTGCATAATTAATTCAATCACAGTAAACTGTAAAGTTGATTATTTCTCGTTCATCAATAGTCGACCATTGTCTCCTAGGATGTACACCTCTAAAGTTACTCTTCATTCTAACTCATAGGATATTTATTCTAAAGGCTGAATTTTCATTACTCTCATTTCTCACTCAAGAATTCGGTTGGATTTAATCAATGAAAGTTACTACTTCGATTTCTAATGATTCTCTCTATATTTGAGTTTCTTGAACTTCAAAGCTTCACCTAGACTTAATTACCCTCGCTAAAATTCAAATCCACAAGTTAAGCATTCAAGGCTTAGCCAGGAACCGTAGTGCTTTTACTTTCCACTATTCGTGTTTACGTAGATAAATATGAATATAACTTTTCTTTTTCTATCTCTACATGATTTTTTTTTTCAATCTCTTTTCTTATGCCATTTCTATTTTTCAGCTCGCAACAAGGTTTCTATTTCGCTCAGTCATTGATAGTATCAGTCAATTTTTAAATCCTTAAAGATTAAAAATACATCATTGTCATATGACATTAAAAGAATAACATCCCACGTCAAAGTCGACACATAACCTAGCTAAAGTTTTGCTCTTCACATTTGGTCCTTATTCGACGACGGCTATCATTATATGATAGCGCCCCAAAGAACCGAAAGAGGGTTTTAAATAAAAGTGATTAGACAAGGAGATAGCTGAGGGACTTGTTGCTTTAAACTTTTTGGGGGTCAACAAAATCATTTGTAAAATCTACTATAAAATAAATGAAAATATCTACTTGTACATCAAGACATGTACATAAGGGGTTATACCCCCCTCACATGGGAGGTAGGATCCACTTGAATAATATTTTTTTATTCGAGTGGATCCCACCCCCATGTAAGGGGGGTGTAACCCCCTATGTTGTAGACATAGGGGGTTACACCCAGTATTTCTTATTTCTGAAAATCCTAAGGACCTTGCACAACTTATAGAATTTACTCCAAATTATCTGCCTGATTTCTACCCCTCAACTAGCCCATTTACTCCATTGGAGCCCAATTACTGACTCCGTTCCTATGTCCAATAAGACCACAATTATCTTCATTTCAACTTCCAAGAAAATCCTTGTTTGGTCATATGACTAAGGGCAACATGTCACCCACCACAGACTGTTTTAAATGTCTACTACATTTGCAAGTTCTAACACTTTAGGCAACTGCCAATCCCTTCCAACCTAAGCAAATTTCAATTTTGTGTGCTCAATACCCAACTCATCATCACCCTTCTCCCCAATGAAAATGTTACCCCAGAAATCATCACCATTGGCCCCTTGGTCAATAATTATTGCACCATCATAACTGTCGTACCTAAATTAAGAAACTCACGTTTCAATCTTTTTCATGAAAAAACCAACAAGCTGTCATACCTATCCAATCCCTCCTAATTGTTGGAAAATTGTTTAAAACACGAGAAAGATTGGTTAAGAATCGAAAACCAAGTATTAGAAAGTGTGACTTCATGTCAACCTTGGCCAAAACGTAACCCGCTTATTTGTTCTTTGCCGCTTCGAAATGGGGGACCCGGAGGCGAAGCCCTCGAAAGAACGGGAATCGACCTTTCCGGTCAAGTCACCGGGGTCGAGGGGGCAGCGCCCCTCATGGGGGCTGGGGGGCAACACCCCCGAAAGAGAATTTTGATTTTCGTGTATAATCAGTGTCTCAAAACCAATTTCGGATAAATGAAAATTTGTGATCCAAAATTGGAAGGAAAAATGTGAAAAATCGGATGACGGGCACACTGAAAGTGTCTCTCGAGCGACGTTGCGAGCGAAAAATCTGGAAACACGAGATTGCTGAGTTTTGGCTCGCACTACTTCGTCAACAACCCTTCAGCATCTATAAATAGGACCTTAGGGACGTCCCAATCTTCACACTAATAATATGCAATCATATAGCATTCATTTTATTTCCTTTCTCAACCAAATTCTTGCATACTTGTTGCATAAATTCTGGTTTTTCTTGACTTTGCATACCGGAGTTCGTAAACCAAGTTCTGGTTTGCCGTTTCTAGTGTGTTGTAGTGCTACTTAGATAATCGTTGTATCTTGGGAGTTGATTGACATACACCGTAAGTACCATTGCGGGGCAAATTCGATTTAAGAACAAAGTGTTCAACACTTGCCTCGACTTTGATATTATTGCTGCTATACTGCACATTTTTTAAGGATTTATTTGGAGTCTATTTCCTACAGTTACTCTGCCGAAATTTCTACAGATTTTCAAAGGTAATTTAAAGGATTTCCCGACGTTATTTGTCACTCCATACACGGAATTTCCCAACACTAATTGCCTTCAAGGATTGAAAAAATAGCAAAAAGGTTATTTGTCACCAAGCATTAATTTTTCATAGGAGCTTCACAAATTTTAGAACATAGCTAAATTCTTATACTTTAGACGAGAATCAACCAATTAAAATTTGTTGCTCAATCAAGAACTCGTTAGTTTTAAATAAACAAAGACGGAAGATTTGATCAACAAACTCATTAATTCAAAATTAAATAATAAGATTGAATCAAAAGAGTCAGAAAAGCTCATTTCACTGAATTAAGAACCTCTAAAAGAAAAACTCTAGCCTTGGTTTCTTAAAGAGAATCCTAAAATCTTAAAATACATTTTATAGAAATGACATTCAAGCCTATAAGCTCCTAAACTAATGAAATACAGTTGTCTGCCTTGTGCCATTTGACTCGTGCGCTGTGACTGCATCAGGAAATTTTATTATAAATAAAGATTGAACTGTTTGCAAATTTCATTTATTAATATTGAGTAATTTTATTATAATATATTCGATACAATTTTATTTAATGTGGGATTGCAGAATAGTATGATTAATATGTTTTTTTTTAGTAAAAAGCTTGTTTGTCACTGATTTTTTTACGTTAAAAATATTTTTAAAAGAAAAAAAAATTGTGAATCTCATGAAATGTGCGGTTGAATATGATTCTTAAAAAATTATGTAAAAAAATCAGTGCTAAACAAAATGTGAAGGGTAAATTTTGTTACATCCCTTTAGGATCAGTCTATTAAGAGAGAGGACCTCGGGCCGAGACCTATAATGGAAGAACCAATGGGCTTACAGCCTACAAGTGATCTCGTCGAGTCTGAACCAGGCCTCCATTAAAAAATCAAGTCAAAGTCAACAATTAAATTTAACCACACATTTTATAAAATCCACAACTTTTCAACCACGTTACTAAAAATCTAATTTTAATTTACACTGAACAAGGGCCTAATTTGTTCCGCAACTGCAATTAAAAAAAGTGATCACTGTCCCAGATTAGCTAACATTCGGACGGTTTAAAAGGAGGAGAGATCACGAGGAAAAGGTAAGCACAATTGATCCTAAATAATTACTCGCATTCCACATTTCTCTATCAAATTTTGACTCGAGCGTCCGAGGGCCGTCAGACTTGTAATCATCTAACGCTTTACTATGGTTGTAGGTAACAATGGAGATTTACTTCGAGAGCACTCAGAGATCAAGCATGACACCCCCTCACAACAGGAGAATGTACACCAAGTTTGGTGTCCCTCACAACAGGAGAATGTACACCAAGTTTGTCAAACTTGGTGTACAAGGGGAGCTTAATTCCTCAAATTTTGGCATGCACAGCGAGTTATACTACATGTATTGAATTTTTACACCAAATCTTTTACACCTTACTTGGTGTACAAGGGGAGCTTAATTCCTCAAATTTTGGCATGCACAGCGAGTTATACTACATGTATTGAATTTTTACACCAAATCTTTTACACCTTACTCACATTAGGAGGTGAAGACCACAAGTTGGAATTTTTAAATACGAATGAGGCCTGCACGCATTGTGAAAGGAAGGATACCATTCGATACATTTAGATTAAATTCCACGCACGCGAAGCTCAAATATGTGGAAACGCACGCGAAGCTCAAATATGTGGAAAAGAAAAAACTGTATATTTCCTAAAATGAATTGGTCTAACAACTCGTACATCTTTAAAAAAAAAATCTCACCAATTAGCAAAATATAGATATTTATAACTCTAATTAAATATTAAACTTACAAAATAAATAATTTTTTTACATAGCCTTTGTTTAATTTTCTTTTTAACCACATGTTTTTAAAAAAATTATATTATATTTAAATCCAAAACTTTCCTTTATTTTTTAACCGCTTTTTCTACAATCTTGTTGTGTCTTGTCCTGTCGGATCCCAATTTCTGTTTTCATTTTCGTGAACGTAGCTTTTAGAGAAAAAAAGATTAGTTCAGATAATCCATGCAAAAGAAAGAGAGAGAGAAAAAAAGATAGTATTACAAATCCATGCAAAAGAAAGACACAGCTGAGGCAAAAAATGGTACAATCCATCCGCAATACTTACATGGATGTACACCACTTATGCTCTTATTCGTACTTAAGATGCAACAACATTATAAAACACAACATTTCAGAGGTGGGTTTTAGTTGTGAGGTTTGGCTTCAAGTTCTGCATCCACTGCCTCACCAGCATATGTACAGCACCTGCAACCACCTCGGTAATGGCTCCGGCCACAGCAGCCATAGTGGCAGTGGCCACCTCCGCCTCCGCCATTATGACCTCCACCATATCCACCTCCGTTTCCTCCATAACCACCACCGGGGTAACCTCCACCAGGGTATCCTCCATATCCGCCTCGTTGATACTTGGCATCAACAACTCCATTTGTCTTCTCAGACTCCTTATCTGAACAAATTTTAGGTGCAAAAGCACACGTTAGCTATTAATACTTAAGTCTACAAACGTTGATAGGAAAAAAATGGCAAATTCTTAAAACTCTTTATTTCGAAATTTTGCTTCCACACAAGCACATTGTTCTCTTTTTTTGTGTTGCGAGTACGAAGAAGCTTACCACCGGAAGTCTGAGACAGTTCCCGAGCTGAAACTTCTGATGCAATCAGAACCATAGCCAGAAGGCCAAGTAGAACAATTGTCTTGGAACCCATTTTTTTGTAACTGACTGTTATGATCAAACCAACTTGATTTAGGTTTTTTTATGAGAACGAGTGGTTCATCTCTATCTATTTATAGACAAATCTAGCTAGATATAGAGTGTATTATTAAAGTTTAGTAGTTGGCTATTAAAGACAGTATTAATACGTACAAAGTCCATCTTATCTACATCGACACGTATCTTGAAAATATAGTTTATATACTTACTTTTGTGCTAGTTTATATTCGGCTGAATATTCGTAAACTCGATGAGATTTTGTCGTAGCTATTAATGTTTTTTGTCATATCCAATTATGTGCAGAATTAACGTCGTCAACGTGTAACCATATTTTTATGTTTACTTATTTTGGTAAGTATATGTGTCGACTTTGCAAAATCAAGATAATAAAAAGACAAAGCGCTACTACTCAAGATTCTATAGTTTTCTTTTGACTCTTCAAATTTCTATAAAGAAAATAGAATAATTTTTTTTCCAATTTTCGAAAATATGTTATAAATTAAAGAACTTTAATTAAGAATAAAAAAACCTAACTTCAATTTTTTTAGACATAACGGAGTCTTTAGGCATACTTGCAGTCTTGCACATGGTCCATAAACCTATGTATAAAGGAGACACGGTAGTGAATGGTAATTTGCCATTTTTATTATTTTTTTGACGTAAAGTTATTAAAGATTAATGGGAAATGGAATGGAAGTCGGCTTGGAGAGTTATTGGATGAAAATCAAACACAATTTATCGAATATATGCACATAAAATTATCTGGGGTACGTGACAGCTACGTCTGAAAGCCTAGTAAGGATGGTTCTTTCTCGACTAAATCTGCTTGGGAATTGGTTCGTAAAAAGAGTGGAATGCACGTGGAGACGCTGGCCGTGGCACAATAAAATTCCCAAAAGAATGTCTTTCGTGGCTTGGAGAGCTCATTTAAATTGCTTACATGTTGATCATGTGGTCCAAGCTATTGGAATCCCGTTAGCTTCTAAATGTGACTGATGTGTAACTCCTTCGACAGAAACTATTGATCACATCTTGTGTAATAGGGAAGTGGCACAAAAAGTCTGGTCTTATTTTGCATCTCACTTCAATCTATCCTTACCACATTGTGCAACTTGGAGAGGCAGAATAAATTTATGGTGGAAACATGCTTCTAGCGTGTCACAGGTGGGAGTTCTCCGTGGCATTACGCCACTTATTATCACTTGGGCGCTCTGAAAATTCAGATGTAAGGCTAGGATGGAAGGTCACCCAATTATATGGCAGAAAATAGTTTGGCAGATTAAGTCTTATCTATCCCATATTGCGGGTTTGATCACCAAAGTCAGTAAAGTTTCAGATCGTGATATTCACTGCTTGCGCTCATTAAACTATCCTATAAATGAGGTTAAACAGCCAAAAGTGCAAATGATCAGTTGGAAGAAACCAATGGATAAGCAATTAAAATTAAATGTTGATGGCGCATCTAAAGAAAACCATGGATTAGCCGGAGGAGGAGGAATTCTATGTGATATGAATGGAACATGCCGTGCTGATTTTTCCCAATATTACAGATCTTACACAAATATGGTGGCTGAAACTCGTGCTCTATTGGATGGGTTACGTATGTGTAGGGACCTGGGGATAAAGAATATCATGGTGGAAACTGACTTGGAGTTCGTGGCTTATTGGGTGAAAAGAGGTATATGTTCCTTATGGTGGCTTTGGGAATTTTGGGAAGATATTATGGAGTTGAATTGTGTACTTAATGCCCAGGTTCATCATGTGTCTCGAGAGGCAAATATGGCAGCAGATTTTCTCGCAAAAAGGGCATGTGGAGGTTCTTCAACAAAGATTTTTATTGACAATGAAATCCCGACCTTTCTTAGAGGAATATTGTGTACTAACCGTTGTGAATTACCTCATTTTAGACGTTGAAGTGTCATTTTTGATGAATTGGTCACGGTGATCCTCTGCCACAAGTGAGGCTTTCAATAAATCTCCATAAATCGACACCTTACTAATATCCTCGTCATCTATTCATCCATTATTTATGAAAATTTGCCACATATGTGCATTAATATAACTTGTGTAATGGGTATATTTGTTGTCTGGTGATATATATTATTCAGGAATGGTGATAAGAATATGCTCCTATTCTAATATGTATACAGTCAGATTATCACATGGAAATGTTGATAAACAATACAAGTAAAGAAGTATATAATATATTTGAATTGGGATTTATTAATTAAAAAAACTTTTTTTCTGGATTAATTTCCTTGGATCATGAGACTAAATCGAAAGGATGGAAATAATGTCACTTACTTAAGAGTAGAAAAAAATAATGGTCTTCCATACTCTGAATGGTATGTTTATTTAAATGTTGTGGTGGGAAAAATGAAAAGATATTCATATGGTAAGAGCCAAAATAATGATGAAGATTGATACTGCCAACTGCTTGTTTATCTTATTTTATGTCAACTTTTATTTATCGTCTTATAATTAGTAGTACTTAGGTTCGTTTCATAATTTATTAAGAGTTGAGGGACCTGAATGCAATTTAATGAATTTGTTTGATTATAATTATTTAATTAGTGTATATATTATTGAGAGTTCTTAACTTCAATCTTTATATGAATCAGTATTCAAAAGAATTAATGATTAGTTGATATTGTGTTCCTCAACTATTGTTTAATGAAATCAAATAATGGCCTTAAATTCTCCTTTTGAGATAAAGAAAAAAAAATCTATTTACTTGATTAATAG